AGATAGTGGGGAGTGGGCAGTGGGTGAGAATTTTGCAGGCAGTGACTGTTTAATTGTAAAAATGGTACAGAGACAGACAGAAACAGGTCATTCCAGAAGGGATATGTTGTGTAAGGGGCAGTTCTGTCAGGCTCAGGGCTGTTCTGGACCTGTTTAAGCCTGCTTGAAGCTAAGCCTACTCCCTAACCTGGAACTCCCATACCCAAGGCCCCTCTGCCAAAACCCATCGGGATCTTTAATATTGGTGTGGAGTGAAGATCAGCTAGGTAACATGAAGCAGAAAGTGGGAATAACTGGGTCTTTTTCAGTTTGACAGAATGTCAGAGGTGGTGTGCCACTGGGCTTGGTCCTGGGGCCTCAGTCCTTTAGGCAGCCAGGAAACTGAGTTGTGAAGAGGATACAGCGAGACTACAAAGGGATATGGATGGTGGAGAGAATGGGCAGAGATCTGGCAAATGGAATACAATGTGGGGAAGTGTGAAAAAGAATTTTAAAATACCTAAAAAAATGACAAAGAACTGCGGATGTTTGAAATCTGAAGCAACAGAAATTGCTGGAGAAACTCAGCAGGTGAGGCAGCATCTGTGGAGAAAGAAACAGAGGTACCATTTTGGGTCCAGTGACTCTTCATGAGAACTCGTTTTAATTGAAACGTTTTTTCTCAGAGGCTTTAGCGTCTTTGGAATTCACTTCGTCAAAATGCAGTGGATGCAGAATCTTTAAATATTTTTAAGACTGAGGGAGGGAGAGTTTTGATGACCCTGGGGTGAAAGATTAACAGGGATCTGAAGAAATGTAGAGTTGATTTAAAATCAGCTGTGATCATATTGAATGATGGAGCAGGTTCAAAGGGCCGAGTGGCCTATCCTTGTTTTTTGTTTGTATGTTCATAACGTAAAGCACATCCTGGTTTCTGAAGGTGAAAGGTAGCAGCTATCTAGACAAGGGAAATTCCCATATTTCACTTTAACTGACCACACTGTCTGAGCATTGGTTCGCTGGGCCCTGAGAGATACAATAGACAGCACAGGATTTCCCTTTAAGAGTGTTGATAGTGCTGTAGCGCCAAGAAGCTCTGTACCTGAAAGGACTGCATCTTCTGTTTCTGACATTGTTTAATGTGCTCCAACCTCAAAGAGATCTGTATCTGAGGGACATTGCATTGTCTTTTAGGTCTAACCCCAGCCCACAATCCACCAGCTGCTGCTCCTATTGTGGTAAGTGACTGGACCAAGATGTGGATATCAGCAACAGGTTAAACTCCAGAAATGATTCAATTCATTTATTCTTAAACAGTCAGTAATGTTGTAGTCACAGTAATGGCAGTGAAGAATGATTAACTGCTTGATATGTGCAGATAGCTGGTAATATAAAGCTGCAGTTACAGAAACCATTGACTTCCAGTAAAAATGAACATGAAGATATGAAGTGATCATTATTTTAAGAATTCACAACCAGATTATTCACATACAAGAACCATTCTGAGACAGTAATAATTCACTGATTCTCACTTGAAGTAAGTATTTCAGTCATTGCAACAAGATTCAATTCTTGAGAAGGACACTCACAATAATAGCTGTTTAAACATGGCTCAGTGCGGCACTGTGGCTCAGTGGTTAGCACTGTTGCCTCACAGGCCAGAAATCTGGGTTTGATTCCACCACATGCAACTGTCTGTGTGGAGTTTGTCCATTCTGCGCGGGTCTCCACTGGGGGTTCTGCTTTCCTCCCACAGTCCAAAGGTGTGGAGGTTACGATGGATTGGCCATGGGAATCATGGGGCAGGCTGGGATGCTTTGCCGAGGTCAGTGCAGTTTCAGTGGGCTGAATGGTCTCTTTCCACACTGTATGGATTCTATGAAAATGAAGTTTGGCACATTTCCCATGTTAAATATCCCAGTGAGATTGAAGACCCAATGTTTGTGTGATGTTGCAGGAGGATGACGGACAGATGCATTACGCTGAACGACAAATGCAACAGGTCACTCAGCGCCAGCTCGTCACGGTCACAGTCA